AACTGGCTTGCCTGCAATCATTTGCTTACATTGTATTTTGTTCTTGTCTACTGTGTTTAATACAGTCTTTGATGTACATTGTGTTTGATACAATCTTTCATGTACTGTTGTATTTCACACAATTATTCACATTGTATTTCATTTGCATACATTGTTTCCATACATTCATGAGTATTGTGTTTCATGGATGTAAATTGTGTGCTCAATGAACTAACTTGATTTCAAAAGGACAGACACTTCTCAAACCCATGATTGTAAAAATGGAAGGGTAACTATGGAGATGTGCATAAATGTGAAAAAAGGGAAGGAGGAAACCAGGAAAATAGAGGAAAGGAGAAACTGGGGGTTTTTTCCTCCTCTTTTTTAAAAAATTGATTAGCTTAGTAAGTTCATATACATTGTATTTCATGCTAATATTTGTTCGCATTTTTCCTGGCAATCATTCTCATGCATTATGGTCTTTATTTGGTACTGGTTTATTTAGAATCATGTGTGCTGTTTTATAAAATGAATCACCACCCGTCGTGAGGACAAATACTGCATGAGACCATCATAACAATAGAGGGATGCTTAGTAGAACGTGTCTGGGGATCCCAGCGGGAGGCAGGGGGTGGGCTGAGGATGGTTGGGGTGAAACCACAGTTTGGCACAATTTCTTCTCTCTTTTAAAGAGAATGATTCCTAGGAGAGTCTGAAACCAGAGACACTTGGTTTGTATGCAGATAGGGCCTTCTAAAACGGTGAGCTCGCCAGTTCTCAATTCCAGCCGTGAGTCTGAAGTTCACGTTGGAAGTTTAGAAGCTGCTTTTCCAAGGGAGTTCCTGTCACTGCTTTCCTTTCCCCCTCAGATATGTTGTGCTTAGAATATCAAATCTGTTCCCCAAAGGTCTTTGGCCTTAACAGACAAATAGATGAGGGTTTGAAGAGAGACTATTATCTAAGTATTCATAACCATGGACATGATTGAAAATGAATCGGTGACCTCGCTTCCGCCCACCACCTTTTCGTAAATGGAATGCCGGAGACTTTTGGCCACTTGGCAATCCCACTTCTCTGTGGGGAAGCTGTTGTTTGCTGCACTCTAGTTGATTCTAACCCCAAGATACATGATAAAAAACACAGCGAAGCTCTGGCCTGCCCTTCGCCATCCTCCTAATCTTGTCTGCGTCCAAGCCCATGGTTAGAGTCTCTGTATTCGTCCATCTCATTGAGCTTCTTCCCCTCTTTCACTGACCCCTCAACCTTCCCCCGTATGTTGTTATTTTGGGGCACTGGTGCCTCTTGACAACATGCCCAAAGCATATGAGATGATGTTTCACCATCCTTGCCTCAGAGAAGCACCCTGGTGACACTACCTCTGAGACAGACCTGTCTGGGGTGTTGGAGTTTTTTTTAAAGTCCACGCTATATTCAGTACTCCTCTCCAGGACCCTTGTTCAAAGCATTGATTATTCTCCATTCTCCCTCATTCATTTTGCAACTTGCATGTCTCTAGAGAGCAATTGAAAAACCTGTGGCTTGGAATCAGGTGCACCTTAGTCTTTGAGTGGACATTGTTGCTCTTTAGCATTCCATTTTCAGTCATGTCTGTGGTTGCAAGTACTAATTTAGCAGATTTTCCTAATGTGCTACCCCTTTGGATTTCCTGACTGCTGCTTCCAGATGTGTTGAAGACTCTATAGTTTTGACCAGTCATAGAAGAAGGCCCAGGATGAGATGAATTAACTCAGTAACGGGAGAAATGGAATTAAGTCTGACAGAGACGGTGAGATTGGCTCAGTTTAGGGCACGTGTCAGAGCTGTTGTATGTAGCGTTGCTTTGAGTTGCCGGTGACTCGATGGTGCATACCAACAACAACAACATGTGTTATGGACTTTTTTTTTGCCAGATACTTGATCCTAGGTACCCCGCCTTTAACACGCCTGCTGGTCTGCCATCCAATTATGAATTCTGTTACCTGTAGTGCCTAGTGCCTGATCAAACAATAAGAGGATACATCCTGCTTGGTGGTTTGGCAGAGCGACCGTTTTGGCTCTGTGACGACGGATGTGTTCCTGGTCTTGGATGTTCTCTGCCCCTCGATAAACATAATTGGCTTTCATTTAAGCAGCAAGCTCCAAAATGCTGCTTGGGGACGTTTTCAAGACACGTACATCTACACCAGCCCTTGCCTCATTGACGGAACACTCTTCCCCAACTGGGACTCTCACTGTTCCCAGAGAGGTTAAGACGTACCACACATTCTGGGGACCCCACAGAGCATTCTCTAACGAGGGCCTCCATTCAGCTGTCTGTATTTTCACATACTTGGGCATGTTGCATGGAAGGACCAGTCCTCGGGGAGGGACAACATGCTTTGGAGGGTGGCACAGGAGAGGAAGACCCTCGACGAGATGAATTGACTCAGTGACTGGGGTAATTCGGGTAGGTAGGTGTGTCAGAGACAATAAGGTTGGCACAGGATAGAGCAGGGTTCAGAGCTGTTGAACATAGCGTTGCTGTGAGTTGCAGGCAACTCTACAGCACATAGTAACAATTTTCACTCCAACAGTAATGTTTCTTAAAAAGATATCTGAAGGGGAGCTCTGTTGGCCTAGTGGCAAGGAGCTGCAACTACAATCCCAGAGGCGCACGGTTCGAATCCACCAGATGCTCTGCCGGGGAAGGAGGGACAATCTCCTCCTGTACCAGTCAGATCTGATTTGACGGTACACTCATACAAAAATAATAATTTAAAAAAAAAGATATCTGAGAGAGCTGTGGGTGTGACTCATTATGTCTTCTCTAAGCCCACACCCACTGAGGCCATTCTGACCCACAGTGACCCTGGAGGACAGAGCGGCCATGCCCCGTCAGGTCTCAAGGGCGGTCACGTTGACAGAAGCAGACTGCTGCAGCATTGCTTCCAAGGAGAGACTTGTGGCTTTGAACTGCTAACTCTTCAATTAGCAAGCCAGTGTTGAACCCACTGGGTCATCAGAGCTCTTTGTCTTCTTTGACAAGGGCTGCATGTGACAGATGAAAAAGAGGAAGACATCCCTCCCTGTAAAAAAATCCACAGTGACTCTTAACAGTAGGCTTGAGAGTATCAGATGATGAGGAAAGGCTGAATGGGGCCAAGGTTCAAATCCTTCGTTCAGATGGTTGCAGTGAGTCATAAGCTAACACAAAGGTATCTAAACACAATGACAAGCTTTAACACGTTTGTCCAGTTGTTATCTGCCATCCAATCACCTGCAGCCCACAGCGTCCCTATGTACAGCAGCTCTGAACCCTGCCCTGTCCTGAGCCAGTCTCACTAATTCTGACACACCAACTCCCCTGGCCCCAGTCACTGTGTCAATCCTTCTCATCCGTTCTTACTCTCCTGTGCTGTCCCTCGACCCTTCTGAGCATGATGTCCTTCTCCAAGGACCGATCTCTCTTGGCCACGTGCCCAAAGTAAGTGAGGTGGAGCTTCCAAACCCTAGCTTCCAAGGAGAGACTTGGTTTCACCCTCTCCAAGACAGACCGATTTGTTTTCTTGGCAGTCCAAGGTATGGTCAAGATTCTTCTTCTGCATCACAGCTCAGACACATAGATTCTTCTTCTGTCATCCTTGGTTACTGTCCAGCTCTCTGATGCAGAGCAAGTAATTGTGAAGACCCCAGACAGACATCATTGCTTTTCAGTACTCTGGAGAGGTTTCTGATAGCAGACTTCCCCAGTGTAATTCACCTTTTGATTTCCTGACTGCTGGTGCCAAGAGTTTTGATCGTGGAGCCCGGCAGCCCCCTTGCTGACTCACTGACCCTTAAGGATTGTGAACGCCACAGAAGCCGACTGCCTTATTGGTCTCCTGCAGAGCTGCCCTTAGCCTTGAACCACTGACCCTTCCAGCTGCCTGGCGTTGCCAGCCCCTGCAGCCGTTGTGGGCTGCTGTCTCTCCGGGGTTGCACACGTGGGCCCCTCAGTCTCCACCTTGCTCTCTGACTCTGCCAGGAAAGGGCAGGCCCCCTTGATCTGTGTGCCTGAGTGCGGACATGTGTGTTCTGAACAGTGCAGGATGTCCTATTAGACAGCGCATGAAGCGGCAGCAGCTGGCAAGGCTACACGGCACCGCAGCCCCAGGCCGGAGTCGGCCTGTCATTTGCGTTTTCACCTTGAAGGCTACTGTCCTGGGGAGGTATGTCATCAGCTGGTAGCATTCTGTTGGGTCTAAGGGGTTTCAAGCCTTGGCTCTTGCCTGCCTTTTCTTCCTGCAGAGGCTCAGGGGCCATCCGGGAGGACAGCCATCCGGATGGTCCCCCCCCCCCCCCATGGGTCTTTAATCCAGCCTTGTCTTTTAAATGCAAAGCATTGTGATGTGCTAAGCTCTTAAAACACTTCTAAAGGATGCCCTGGCTCTCCAGCTCCTTGGGGATTTATGCTTCTTCAAAGGCCTTGTTTCCATCTCGTACCCCTCTCCCTCTGCCCCAATGTGCTGGTCACTCAGCTCCTCCTGGAAGAAAAGTGTGTGAGCTTAGGTCGTCGGGGTTGACTGGCTGCCTCTCCAGCCCACTGCTGGCCCCAGAGTCCTCACATACTGTCCCCCCCAGGGAGCAGGGATGCCCAGAGAGCACCCAGACTGGAGGGAACCCAGGGGGCTCAGTGTTAAGCACTTGGCCACTTAACAAAAGGTCACAGGTCCTAACCTGTCCAGCAGGTCCTAAGGAGGAAGACCTGGGAAGTAGGGTTTGTCCTGCCAGCTGCTGTTGCATGCATTCTAATACCTTGAGACCCCGGAAGAGAGCAGGCTGCTCACAGGGTCCCAGGGACTGCGTCCCCAGATCTTTTCTCCCGCAGGGTGTACTGCCTAGCTGACCTGAGGGGACACCTCCACTCTTCCTCCCTACAGTGGAGTCACCAGCGACTCAAGGGTCCCCACGGCAGCTGACTCCGGGGTGCCTGTCCATGCTCCAGGGGTAGAGGGCACACTGGGCAAAACCACCACCTTTGTGCTCCCTTCTTGTCCCCGCAGACACCGAGCGCCTCTACTCGGTGGTGTTCCAGGAAATATGCAGCCGCTACGGGCAGACGTACTCGTGGGAGGTGAAGTCTCTGGTGATGGGGAAGAAGGCGTCCGAGGCCGCCGCCATCATCATCCGTGTCCTGCAGCTGCCCATGTCCACGGAGGAGCTGCTGGAGGAGAGCCAGAGCCGGCTGAAGCAGGTGTTCCCCACCGCCGAGCTGCTGCCAGGTGACGTCCCCGCCCGCTGCCCTGAACACACAGCTGATGTGCTGGGGGTCGGGGGTGTGCCCATGAGGCCGTGGACCACAGAGCCAGTCCCTGCCTAGCCCTGTCCTTCCTCACAGCGCTCACTGGGTCTGCACCCTGAGCTGCAGTCTCAATACCACTCCGTCTCCCAGACAGTCTTCCTCTCTTTCACACACCCTCTGCTTCTCCAAGCATGATATGTCGTCTTTTGGGGCCCAGGCCCCTCCTGTGATCACTCCCACCATTCGTGAGTCAGAAATCTCCCCAGCCTGGCTTCCAGGGAAGCACTCTGGCTGCACTTTCCCCCAACCAGATCTCTCTGTATGTGTCCTTTTGTCGGTCCACAGTGTGTCCATCATGATCACTTAAAAGCCATCATTCATCTTCCTGAGTCCTTGGCCAGTTTTCGGGTGCACGGGAGGCCACTGACAATCCTGTGGTTTGGGTCCAGCGCATCTTTGAGGGCCATCTTTGTCTCAGGGACACTTCTGTGACTCTTAGCGGGTCCTCCACACCCCACATACTAGCACCGCAATCGGTTCCGAGGCGCGGCCACCCTGGCGGCCCTGGAGGACGGGAGAATGGCCCCAGAGAGTGTGCGGAGCTCTGAACCTTCACAGAAGCGGCTGTCACCTCCTTGTCCTGCCGAGCGGCTGGGGGTGGCCATGCCGCTGACCTTGTCCTTTGCTGCTGAGCATTGAGCCACTAGGGCCGCTGTGAACCCGAACAAGTTCATGGTCAGTTCTGGAGTCAAGAGTGCACACGTGTCCGTAGCCTTGCCTTTTCCTTCATCGCCTCAGGCTCACAGGTATCCCGTGGGGGAGTCAAGTCACTGACGCTGCTCATAATAATTTGTGTGTGTATGTGCGCATGCACATGTTTTTAACTTTTGCCTCTGAGCTGTGGTGTTGGAGAAGAGCACTGAACATCCCAAAGAAAACACAGCTATGTCTTGGAGGGGGTGCAGCCAGAGTGCTCTTTGGAGGCAAGAATGATGAGGCTTCACCGCACATACTTCAGGCATGTTGCTAGGAGAGGCTATTTCTTGGAGAGAGACATGATACTTGGAAAGGTCGGTGAAGAAGAAGAAGACCCTTGACCAGGTAGATTGACATGGTGAAGGCCGCAGTGGGCTCTGGTGTGTCAGGAAGTGTGAGGCTGGCTCAGGATAGAACAGGGTTTAGATCTTTTGTTGATAAGGTCTCTGTGAGCCCTACTTGACTCCACAGAACCTAACAACAGCAACCTCTCCCCTGTGAGGGTGGATACCTGTGGATGACCGTAGTCTGTCTTGGAGACCATGACACCACTGCCCTGCAGAGAAGTCCACATTCCAGGCCCCTCTCTCCACCTTGGAAGGCGACTACCTCTCTGATGGGCGCTCTGGCGGGCTGGTAGTAAGGAGTTGCCCTGCACTCTCAGAGGCACCTGGTTCAAATCCACTTTAGCAGGTTTCAGCAGGCTGTGAAATGCAGGGGAGGAGATTACCCGTCTTTTCAGAGCTGCTGGTGATTTCAACGTGCTGGAGAGGCTTTTGAGGTAACAGTTCAACCTCCTACACACTACAGCCCTGCCCTAGTGTAGGTAGCAGCTCACGGCTGACGCTACAGCTGGTTTTCGGAGACTCTTAAGTCATGTCGGAGGACATTGTCTGTCCTTCTCCCTGGGAACAGCTGGTAGAGTCAGACCTCCTGCCCCTGGGTTGGCAGTGTAGCTCCTTACCCACTTGGCCACCAGAGCTCCCTGGCACACCTTTTAGGGGGACACAATTCCATCCGTAAGAGAATTTGCATTTTTAAACGTATGAAGCTTTCTGATAGATTTTTTAAAATGTACTCAAGAAGCTAAATTCAAGAGGGGGAGAAATCCTTACTTGGAGGGTCCGCCCTGATGGTGTAGTGGACTGAGTGCTGAGTGTGGAGTTGTTACGGAGAACCGTGGCAATTCCAGATGCCCGCAGTGTGTCCTCGTTCATTTTTTACCCCTCTGGCTGTTCCTAACAGCGAGGTCCTTTAAAGAGCTGCCTGTGCATTGATTTTTTTGTAGTGACAAGGTCCTTAGAAACTGCCACTTTAAAAGCGATCTGAAGGAAACCAATTAGTGCGTGAGCACGTGAAGTGCGGACGACAACGGCTCCCCAGGGCCCCCCAGGGCCATACGGATTGCTGCTAGTGGGCCGCGCTCTCTTCAGATCCGGAGACAGCCAGTGGAAGGGAGAGTCCGGGTGAAAGGCACTGTTTATCATCTCCCCAACGTCCCCGCAGGCTCCCTAGACCTGCAGGAAGTAGGGGAGCTGCATCACACCAGGCTGAGACGCCCCATCCAGTAGCTGGTAGGAGTAGACCAAGCCCAGACGACCTGCTGCACTGGCTGATGGGAGCAGACCAGGCCCGGATGACCTGAGCACTGGCTGATGGCAGTAGACCAGGCCCAGACGACCTGCTGCATTGGCTGATGGCAGTAGACCAGGCCTGGATGACCTGAGCACTGGCTGATGGGAGCAGACCAGGTCCAGACGACCTGAGCACTGGCTGAAGGAAGTAGACCAGGCCCAGATGACCTGAACACTAACTGCTGGGAGTAGACCAGGCCCCGATGACCTGAGCACTGACTGATGATGGGAGTAGACCAGGCCCGGATGACCTGCGCAGTGGCTGATGGGAGCAGACCAGAACAACAACTCACATAGTGTCTGACAGGGATCCACCAGGCTGTGGGTCGCTCCTTTCTGCTGACCCTCCCTCCACCTTCCCCAGCATGATGTCATTTTCCAAGGCTGGGCCCCTCAACAGCATGCCCACGGCGTGCAAGATGAAGCCTCAGCATCCTCGCCTGTTCCAGGCACTTGACACCTGACCTCACAGGAGCCTTTGGTTAGAGCTGTGTCAGTCGTGCCAGGACCTTGTCTGCCGTGCTTTGAGCAGTGTGCTTGTGCTGTCCTGCTCATGGAAGGAGTTGCAGCTCTGTGAGTTCCCCGGATTCTGCATGTTGAGGATAGCTTTCAACACCTGGCTTCATTGTGGGGGCCCTGTGAGCACATTGCGTCCTTCCACTCCCTCCCGAGGAGTGGAGGGCGGTGGTAGTCGTCAAACTCAGCCCTTTCTGCTTCTTGAGGCACACCTGTGTCCCTCACAACACACACCAGAGAACAGAATCACTAAAGGCAATTCGGTGCGTACAGGTTCACCCCAGAACAAAATAAAAAGTAAACGCTATAAATGAGTTTGGGTCAGTCATTGGAGCTGAGCTCATTTACTTTGCTGGAGCCAGTGTTGACAGAGCGAGTCGTGATGTCGCCCATCTGGGGGTGTCGGGCATTCTGGGAAAGCACCAGCGTGTCCCGGATTTCTTCAGTCCTGCGGGCCTTGCAACAGAAGACTTGCCCAGAGCTTTCCTATGTGCTGGTTGTGTTTTGGGAAGAAGTAAATATTTGTAGAGTAAGTATGCACTAAGACAGTAAATATTTGTGGGATGTGTCAAGTTAATAATTAAGGTGAAGGGCATTAAAAGTAGCCTTCAGCACTCTCTGTTCTCAAGGAGAGGCTTTGCACGCATCTCTTAATACTGTCCTCTATAAACAGGTGGATCTTTATAGCACATGTTTGCAAATGGTTAGGGGCAGACGTGGTCCAGTAGACCTTACTGTTGTGGAGGACTCTATGAGTGTGTGGCATAATCCACAGCGAGCTGCACTCCTTTCCCTCAAGCCACAACTCTGCTGGTTCAAATCCACTAGAGGCTCTGCAGTAGCAAACTGTGTTTTATGCCCTTGGAGACCCGTAGGAACGGCTTCTAGGGATTTCTTCTGCTGGATGGCGATGTGTTTTGAGTTTGCGATGGATGGTAGAGGCTTGGTAGGTTTGAGGTGGAGGGATGAACAAGTAGGTGATTGAAAGTTGACAGGTAGGTCAATGCATGATGGATGGATGTGTGGATGCTGTGAAGTCAGCTTTGTCTCACCGTGACCCCCATACACAGCAGGAGGAAGCTTCATCTGGTCATGCCTTGTCTTCCTGTCATCACAGTGCTCACCTGAGCGAACTGTGGTCTGCGACGTGTGCCTGGAAGAACGTGGCACCTGTCCTCCCTCCCCGGGTCCCCAGGTGCAACGTGGAGACATGCTGCTGGGCTGCAGGGCAGATGCAGCGCTGACTTGTCAGAACCGACTCATAGCAGACCTTCTAGCAGGTTTTCAGAGGCACTGAACCACACTGGAGATGGGCCAGCCTTCTCCCACAGAGCAGCTGGTGAAAACGAGCCACATGCCTTTGGGAATTGCAGGGCAGCTTCTTACCACTTAGGCTGGCAATGCTCTCTGGAGCATTAAGTGGCTAAAAGAAATAGACTGACTAGGTTGAGTACACACAGGCCCTAGAGTGGGATAAAGGAATGATTGAATGAAAAACCAGTTTACATAGATGATGTACACTGCATTGGAACAGATGAGAGGAGAAATGTCCAAAAAGAGTATTGTTGTCATGTACCGTAAAGTCATAACTGATTTATCGCTGACCCCCGGAGGGTTTTCAGGGGCAGTCATCATACGGGCCTTTGTCTTTAAGTCAGTTTTGCCCTAACTCACTCTCCAGTTTAGAGACTCATATGTGAAGAAGTAGTTGGATTCTGGAGGGTAGGTTCTGTTGATTTAGGTGAAAGTCCGGTGTAAACTTGTGGGTTTGGTTTTTGTTACTGTTGTTTTTGTTGTATTTAGTTCACAGTTGTGGTATAATCTGATTGCTCGCAATCAGCTGTGGGCTGGAGGCCTCTTGTTTAAGTCAATCAGGACCAGTGGGCAAGCCTTTGTATTTAAAAGTTGGTTGGGCCCTAGGGCCTGGTGTTATTGTGTTTGAGAAGTACAGTGGTTCTGCATTAATCTGTCAATTTGCTGAGGAGATAAATCGTTTGGGGTTGCTGTGATACTGAACGCCAGCCTGCCACTGGTGTGTCAAATGTCATAATGGTTACTTGTGGTAGACAGAATTTGGTGGAGCTCCCAGATTGTGACAGGCTTGGGCAGGATTGGCATTCACTTCTTAAACAACAGGCCTTTGGAAACTCTATGAATATTAGACCAATGATGATACTATATAGAACAGGCTTTCAATCTTTTGTCCGTAGAGTCACTATGAGTCGTGCTCGAGTTGAGGGCACTTAACAACTATCGCACGGGAGGAGATTGCCCATCCTTCTCCAAGGAAGCAGCTGGTGGCTTCGAACCATGTGCCTCTGGGATTGCAGCGCAGCTTCTTGCCACCAGTCCGTCCCACCCATGGTCTTCCTCTCCTGTGTTGTCCCTCCATCCTTCCAAGCATGATGTTCTCCAAGGACTGGTCCCTCTTGGCAGCATTCCCAAAGTAGGTGAGATGAAGCTTCAAAATCCTTGCCTCCATGGAGCACCTGGTTTCACTCTCTCCAGGACAGACTTGTTGGTTCTCTTGGCAGTCATTGGAATATTTAACACTGTCATCCTTAGTTGTTGCCCGGTTCTCTGAAGCCTAGCAAGTAAATGCAAAGACCATGATGGCCTGGATTAGGCACACCTCAGTCTGTAGACTGACATCGTTGCTCTTCAGCACTCTGGAGAGGTCCTTGCCAGCAGATTTTTCCCAATGCAGTTTGTCTTCTGATTTCCTGACTTCTGGCGCCAAGAGTGTTGATTGTGGAGCCGAGCAAGCTGTAATTGCGAACAACCTCAGTTTCTTCTCCATCTATCATGGTGGCGCTAGTTGGCCCAGTGGTGAGAATCTTTGTCTTCTTGATGTTGAGCTTCAGTTCCTATTTAAGGTCCTTGACCTTATGCAGCAAATGCTTCCCGACCTCCTCATTCTGGCAGGTGAGACTGTGTCATCTGTATCTTGCAGGTGGACGACGAATCTTCTCTAGTTCCGATGCTGTACTTTTAAATAGTTATGCTTCCTTAATTTTCTTTTTTGCTCTTGTGTGGAAACCCAGTGGAATTCTGCGTGTTGTCATTGCCCCCCACCCCCTTACTGGATTCATCCATTAATCCTCGAACATGTCTCTGACGTCATCTCTATTCTTATTTTTCTGTCTATGTGTGCTATGAATTACGGGAGACAATTTGGAAATCTCTGTCTGAATTGTCTATTTCTTTCTTCTTTTGGTTTAACTTCTATGCATTTTGATGTGTACCTATTGAGAATTCTTTTGTCTTATAGACAAGTTGACCATTTATTGCTTAAATATCTCCATTTATCCCTAATGTTAGTGGCTCATTATTCAGTGTCCAGTTGTTTACGATTGGCAGTGCCTTCCACACTTTTTCTTCCGAGGAGGAATTGTGCAGTAGTAGGTTCTCAAGCCCTTATTTGTACCTTGTGTGTGTATTTATGTTAAAGTAGATGTCTTGCATCTGCTGGGTCTCGGCTTTTGTGGTTTTGTTCTATTTTGTTTTTCTTTGGGAGTCTCTACCTTGGGCTAAGAAAGTATTAACCACACGAGAAATAACATGCTTGGTTTAGAATGACTTTGAGCTTGCTATTTATAAGAGAGGCATCAGATCCGTGAGCCTACCTCCTCGTGGTCACTTCTGTGTCTTGTTTCTTTTTTTCCGGTCTGGAGTGAGTCTTCTCTGCTTTTTTGCAGCTGTGATGATGTTTGATTGGTTTCCAGAGGTGGTGAATTTCACCATGTGGGTCCTGTTTCCTTCTCCAAAAAGGGGTTGCCTGTTTCTACCTCACACATGAGATCTGTCCACACCTTATTTGCAAACTCTGATCCATGTCGTGCCTCTAAGCTGTTTAGTACCCCCCCCACCCCAAATATCTGTTGCCTTGTCAACTAATGTTAAAAACTGAAAAATGACAGTGTCCTCCTGGAGACTAAGGTTCGCCAGATCCAGGCCATTGTCTTTAAAATGACTTGCTTATGCATCAGAGAGCTGGACAATGACTAGGGATGACAGAAGAAGAATTGGTGCCTTGGAGTTGTGGTGTGGAGAAGAATATTGAACATACTGTGGACTGCTACGAGAACAAACAGGTCTATCCAGGAGCGGGTGAAACCTGGCTGCTCCTTGGAATCAAGGATTTTGAAGCTCCATCTCACATACTTTGGGCTTGTTGCCAGGAGGGACAATTCCTTGGAGAAAGACATCATGGCTTGGAAGAGTAGAAGATAGGAAGACCCTGGATGAGATGGATTGACTCAGTGACCAGAGTAATGAGGACAGATGTGTGTCAGAGACAATGACATTGGGCCAGGATGGAGCAGAAACAATGGCATTGGCTCAGAATGGAACAAGGTTGCTTTGCTCTTGTGCATAGCGCCACTGTGTGTTATGTGACTCCACGGCACCTAACAACAACAATCTGTTAGTCTTTTGTTGACACACTAGGGGAATTGCCACATGTAATTAGTAAAACAAGCATGTTAGTGAGCATAGAAATAATGTGATTATTTCTGAATGACTTTCAAGTATTGGAAAAATGCCCTCGGTCTTTTTTGGCTAAGTACAGGCATTATCACATGTAATCATTAAAATAAGAGTATTAATAATAGAAATAAGATTATTTCTGTATGGCTTTAGGTCATGAAAAATAATGACTGTGTTGGACTTCTCTTTAATAGCATTTGACAAAGTAGGGCATTATCTGTCGTGATTACTGAAACAGCAGCACTCACTGGACCCCTGTAAATACCATGTCAGATGGGCCCCTGTGGTCTGTGTCTTCTTCGTTCCATGTGGTGTTACTGCTTTCCTCATCAGAGCCCCCACTCCCTGCACAGCAGAACAGTCAGTGCCTCCACTGCGCACCGGACACTGGGAGTTTGGGTCCACCTGGAAACCCACAGGCTCCTAGCAATCTGAGGTGGTTATCGCTGGGTGCCGAGGGCCCACCTCTGACTCTGAGTGCCCGTGTAAGACAGATCGAAGCCCTGCTCGGGTGCACATTCCCTACTGTGCGTGCACAAGTCCGCTGTTGCAGGGCCTCTGTCAGCCCAACTCCTTGATGGTCTTCCCATCTTTTTCTGACCCACTGCTTTACTGCGGTGCCGTCCAGGAACTGGCCTCCCCTAACAACATCCCCCAAAGAACAGGACCAGAGAAATTGGTTTTCTAGGCTTCCCAGGGGAAGGAGACTGCCTTGTCTTTCTGCTGCAGGGCAGCTAGCTGGTAAGCCCGACTGGCCAGCCTTCGGGTCCCCAGGTTTGTGCGTAAACAGGTCTTATCTTTCCAGAGGCGCCTCTGAAGGATTGCCTGGCTGTCAGCTTTCTTAGCTCAAACCCCGAAAGCCTGAAAGAAAGGGATCTCCGGGATTCTGTGGCATTTCCAGTGTGGCTGCCCTTGCCTGTGGAGCGCCTGGTGCTGGGGGGTGGGGTTACGTACATAGTTCAGGAAGAGTGCCAAATGTGTAGGGTGTTCCCGGGGGCAGGGAGTACCTGGGGCAAGGGACACACAGGGCAGGTGTTTGCACGGTGCGGGGGTGGGGTACAGAGGGGATGCCTGTCATCCCCACCACTTTGAACTGCAGGAAGATGTTAAGGGATGTGCAGGCCAGTGTGGATCCTTCCAGGAAGTGACAGAGCTGGGTGCTGGCCTGACAGTGTGTGCGTTGCTGTCTAGCTGGGCCCCACGGCCCTCTCCAGCATGAATCGGTCAGTGTCTGCTCTCTTCTCTCCGTAGTTACTGCTCCACTTCTGGGGTCAGCTGAGCAGGGGGCACAGCTTGTGATTTGCCCTCCTCTGCTGTCTGTGTCTGCGACCTACTCCCTTCCCCAGATTCCAGGTGGAGGCCCAGGCTTGTGCCCACTCTTGTCATTCCCTGGCCCCATGCTCGAGCATCGTGTCTGTGCAGGGCTCCACGAAGCCCAGATCTGCTTGCAGGGGACTGTTTTCCTTCCCAGCGTATACTGTCAAAGTGGGGACCCCACCTAAGCTGAGGCTCTCGGGGAGTTAGCCGGGACTTGCGTTCCAGGAGGGCCTGGTCTCCGGGCACTGACTGGCCCACCTTCCCTCACCGTCTCCCTCCCCTTCCTCCCACTCCCAGGTGTGGAGAAGCTGATCCGCCACCTGCAGAAGCACAACATCCCATGTGCCGTGGCCACCAGCTCTGGGACGGCGTCCTTTGAGGACAAGACACGGCGGCACCGGGACTTCTTTGGCCTCTTCCACCACGTGGTGCTGGGCGATGACCCCGAGGTGAAGAGTGGCAAACCCAGCCCTGACATCTTCCTGGCCTGTGCCCGACGGTTCTCTCCGCCACCCCCCGCGGACCAGGTCAGTTTTCATTGCACTCACCCCACACCGGGCACAGCATCAGGGGGCCCACCTGTATGGGGTTCCAGAGGCAGGCTGAGGTCACAGGCCCAGCTCTCATCCGGGCTCTTGGGAAGGCCTCTCAGATTGTGGGCACCAGAAGGGGAAGGGCCTGGTGGAAACCCACATGGAAGGCCATGCTGATGTCCACAGCGGTGTCCCTGTGGGGCCCGGATCATGCAGGCACAAGATCTGTCCCTAGGCCTGTCCCTGTGCTGGTTATGCGTGCGAAGAGTTAGAAGCAGGCTGTGTGTTGTTAACACCTGCCAGTCAGCTAATTTCTGTAGCACATGGTACACAGGAAACCACACAACCCATGCAGTTGCAGTCAGATACAATAATACAGTAATAACAAGACTAATCATATTACTGACAGGGCTTGCAAAGCAGCACCTGCCTGTGATTAGGTATACTGGAACCGTCGCACGTACTTTCACATCCCAATGTCGCAGACTTTACTCCATCACTGACGCATAACTTCTGGCTCTACCTAAGGAAGGGTGTGATCCAGGGGCTCGTGTGACCGATGATACCAGGCCAGGGGGTCCGGCGAGGGTCTTCCGGAATACACAGACATGTGTGAGAAAGGATGCGTCTTGCAGAACGTCCCCCGTCCTAATCCTCTTGTGCTGATCTCATAGAACCATCGCGAGTGGATGTCTCTAAGGGCAGCTCTCTTCTTTCTTGGGGTCTGGAAGGTGGGAAGCCTGCGTTCATGGGGCCCGGTTCCACAGAAGGCCCCCTCTCCCACGGTCAGCCCAGAGGGCAGGCCGCCTCCTCTCTGTCCATCTCATGTGATCTGGTTCCATGGACATCTTGCCGTGCTGTGACGTCTCCCTCAGCCTCTGCTCGCTGGCTTTGCTCCTACAACTCTTCTTGTATTGCAAAGCGGACTTCAGTGTCCTACACGCACATACTGCCTCACGAACACAGCCGAGGAAAGCCCTTCCTGAACGAGAGGGTTGCCCCAGGTAGAGGGATGAGGATTGATGTGACACGTTTTAGGAGGTGGGGACACTCTTGAGTACGACTCACTGCCCAGCCCACAGTTTTTCAGGAACAGGGGAGTTGGGGCCATGTGTGCTGCCCCTTGGTTGTTTTCAGTAAGCAGTGGTCAGGCCTTTATGCCTGGGATACAGGCCGATCTACACCATCCTGTGGCAAGATGACCTGGGAGCTTCCTTTGCTGGGACCCCAGGGTTGGTGGGGACACATGGAGGAAAAAAGCTGCACGGAGCTTTCTGCATTGTGTCCCGAGATCAGAGAGCACGAGATGGGACAGAAAGAGGCCAGTCTGTCTGCTTCATCTCTTCTCTTCCCTGGACATCCTGGTTCTGCGTCCAGGGCCTTCGGAGCACTTCCCCCAGAGACGGGAATTTGGCTTAGCACTGTCCTCTAGCCTCCCAGGGCTGCAAAAAGTTGAGCACTCAGCCAGTAGCAGAAAGGTGGCAGGTTGAAGTCCACCCAGCGGCACTTCAGAAGAAAAGCCTGGCTGTCTGCGTCGGACAAAGCCGCCCCTGAATACTCCGTGAGGGTCTAGTTATCCCCTCATACGCGTGGGAACTCGAGGCTGGAAACCACTGGGTGCCACGTGTTCTTGTCCTTGTACTTCAAGTTGAGAAAGGACAAAAGCAGAACAGAGCTCTGAGGGGTCTCAGTAACGCCTGGACAGCAATCAGGAGATGGCCAAGGACAGCCAGTGAAAGGGGCCCTGCAGACACATCTGCTTCAGGCGTGTTCCTTGCAGGTCCTCCTCTTTAGAGCTGGGACCAGGGAACTGCCAGGTCTTCTTACTTCATCAGCACTTCTTCTTTTCTTAAGTCAGAGGTGGAGATTTTTAAAAAAAAAATTAAGATAACTTTTTTCCATTCAACTTTTATTTCTTACAGTTGTTCTCATATATTGTGTCTTATAAAATCAGTCACCATGATCTATGCTCGCTATTACCCTGTCTTTTCAGATTCCTCACTGGATCTTTCCTAATTCCTTCACCTCCTCCCTCCACCCACCAAACTCTACAACCCCATGATTTCCCCACTTCCCACCCTTAACCCTCCTACCTCTTCCCCTTCCTGCTTTGGAAAGCCATACATACACATCTTACCGGTTATCCCTGTTTTTATTCCTGTTTTTACAGGAATGGTCTTAGGCAGTATTTGTCCTTGGGCACCTGAGTTTGTTCACTCAGCAAAAGGTGGATTTTTTGGTTTGTTTTAACTGAAATGTCTTTTTTATTAAATCAGTTTGTGCAGTCCACATCTATTTCCTGTAAGGATTAAACACAAAATATTACTAAAAATCATTTTGTGGTTGTTTTCTATTGGTTTATATATAGAAATTAGTCTACATTGTATTTAATTCACGTTTATTGTTATGTGCTGTCAAGTCATCTGCAACTCATAGCAACCCTGCCTACAGCAGCCCTAAAGTCTGCTCTGTCCAGAGCGAACATTATTGTCTCCGACACCCATTACCCCTGTCACTAAATCTATCCATCTCGTCGAGGGTCTTCCTCTGCTGCGCTGTCCCTCCACCCTCCCAAGCATGACGTCCTTCTCCAAGGACCGGTCCCTCCTTGCAACATGTCCAAAGCAGATCAGATGCAGCTTCAGAATATACCTTGTCTTTTATACAGTCTTTGATTTGCGGGGTGTTTCTTCGACTCATTCAAATATCTTGTATTTTATATCATGAAGTACCATTGACCCAAGCCTACAATGACTCTGTCTTTTCAGTCTCTACTGAATCTTTCCTATTCTTTCACCCCGACTCGCATCCAAATACTAAACTCTGTTACCCTACCTAGTGTTTACCACCACTCTTCCTGTTTTCCACATCTTAGTACTTCTTCTTCTATTTTGACAATAATGGTTTTATGCAGTATTTGTCTTTATGAGCCTGAGTTCATTCAGCATAGTGCTCTGCAGACTCACCCATGTCATGTAGTATTTTATGACACCATTGTTCCCGAATAGAATTTCAGTGTTCCTGCAGAGAGTTTCATTGTGTGAATGCCACACGGTTTCTTAATTCAGGTGTATATTGATGGACATTTGGGTTGTTTTCCATTTTCTTGCTATTGTGGATAATGCTGGTATGAACATCAGTGTGCAAGTCTCTGTGTCTCACTTCTATTTTCCTCAGGGCATCTTCCTAACAATGATACAGCTGGGTCATATAGGATTTCTGTGTTCAGCTTTTTTGAGGAAAATGCCAAACTGCCTTCCTGAGTAGTTGTATCATGTAACCATTCCACCAACAGTGTATTAGAGTGCCCATCTCTCCACATCCTCTCCAACATTTATTATTTGTTATCCTGTTAAACTTTGGCACTGCTCCTGGGGTGAGATGGTATCTCATTGTGTTTTTGATTTGCATCTCTCTTATTGCCAGTGATTTTGAGCATTTATTCATGTGTCTGCTGGCCATGCAAATGTCTTCCTCTGTGAAAAGTCTTTGTGTGTCTTTTTACCATTTTTTTACTTGGGTTCTCAGTCATTTTCTCATGGAGGCCCTGTAGTATTCTGTAAACACCATGAGACCCTTATCAGAGATGGTGTTGCCAAATGTTTGTTCCCAGTCAGTAGGTTTTCTTTCACCCTGTTGGAACAAGTTTTTGATGATCACAGAGATTTTAACTTTAGGAGGTCCCATTCATCAGTTGTATCCTTTCCACATTGTGCATTTAAGGCTGTATTTGGCAGTCTCTTTTTATACCATCGACTAGGCGTTCTAATCTTGGTCCCACTTTGTCTCTTAGATGTTTTTCCCTGGCCTGTGGCTTTCCTTTTCTCTCTATTGGAGACAAGGTTTTTGATGCACACTTAGTATTTACAAGGTCCCATCCATAAATTTTATCTTCTCCTGCTTGTACATTCCTGGCTAGATGTGCAAGCCTGTTTTATGCCGTAAGCTAGGACTTTGAAGACCCCAGTGCTCCGAGGGAGTGAAAGGTGCAGACTTCTCCCATGCAACTTACAGGCCCTGAAAACCTGCTGGGAGATCAGCTGTGAGTGGGGTTCCACTTAGTTCATAGCAGCAGCAATATCGTTTCTAATACTCCTTAATGTTGTAAACAGACATATCGGTGTCTCATTGCATTCTTTAAAAGGATACCTAATTTTTTATTCTTGGATGCACTTGGTACATGCGGTCATGTCAGTTCCAGCTCACGTCGCAGAAGGGCCCGCTGCTGCCCAGTCCCGCGCCCAGGTGCCCACAGTGACGGCCGGCCTCGAGACCATCGCTGCAGCCTCTGTGCCAGCCCAGCTCGTGGAGGGGCTTCCTTTTTTTGAGCTGCTAGACGTCCTTTTTATGAGCTAGACCTGCTGGCAGGCACTCGGCTCTGACCTCCAAGGTCCCCGTAGGACGGAGTAGATCCTCTCTTTCAGGTTCCTAGAGCTCTGTCCACCTTCACAGAGGCACAGCCACCCATGGGTGTGACCTGCCACCCTCTTAGGTCAGCAGGGAAATTCTTCCCCTGAAGCTCCTTACAAATGACCCGCCAGTGCTTCCTTTAAACAGCGAGCTGAGTTGGCGGCCTGGGCAGGTGGAACTTCTCCATCTGCCTGCTGGCGCACACCAGGCAGTCACATCGGCCGCTGGTTGGGAGGGCGTGTTTGTCTCAGCTTTCCCCCACCTGGACATGTTGAGGAGGCTTCGCGGAAGCTGCTCCTGGTGATCGCAGCACTTCCATGGACAACAGAACGCAGGCCCTGCCCGCCTGGGTGTCCGTTCACACGTGTGATTAGAGTGGAGTTAATTCTTTACTTTTCACTTTTTTAAAATTTTTGTTTTATTATTTTGTGTGTGTGTTGTATCATCAAATCAGATCTGACTGGTGAAGGAGGAGATTGTTCCTCCTTCTCCAGCAGAGCATCTGGTGGATTTGAACCGTGCACCTCTGGGATTGCAGTACACCTTCTTGCCAGTAGGCCACCAGAGCTCGCCTACTTTTCACTTTTAACTAGGCATCAGCGCTCATATTTATTGAGGACATGCTAGGTATGCTGCGAAGTCTTTGACGTCTAGTGTAATGTAGGGCCATCCATCGTTCACCACGTGGGGGATACTCCTCGATCACTGTAATTTGGGCGGGAAGGGTACATGCCATAGACTCTTTGACCCATGAGTATCACACCGACCTAGCCGCATGTAAGAACCACTTTAGTGAGTGACACTATTTGGAAAAAAACCTCGGACTTGGAAGATGAAGCCCTGGTTGACCCTGTGGACAAGGCACTTGCCTACAAACTGCAAGGTGAGAGGTTCAGACTCGCCCGCCGTGACGAAGGCAGCAGGTGTGGCTGTCAGCCCGCATTGAGACGGGAACCTGGGGAGCCCTGCGGGCAGCTCTGCTGTGTCCCCGACCATACGGGCGTCGAGGCGGAATGGACGCGATGCCCGTCTGTTGGTGACTTGGACCGATTACCAGAGGAGCCTGTGCTGTGCCTTCCGACGTCTCCTTGCCCCACGACGTGCTGCGCCCCCCAGGGCTCCTCCATGAGCAGCCCCTCCATCAGAAGACCTTGCTTGATCCTTGCTACAGGGACCAACACCTCACGATGACTTCAGCCCAGCTGCGCTTAGAAATGAACTTGACAAAACGATGCCTCTGTTACCTAGTGCTGCTTTAGCAGAAATATCACAAAGGCTTAGCACACCGCAACTGAGTGGCTCACAGTTGACTCCCAAATCCCTGGCATCCGCTCTGGGGAAGCCTCTCCTTCACCCCATGGGCCTGGTGTCCCTGGGAGACCTCCGTTCGCCTTGGCCTCTGTCTCCCCAGTCGGGTGGCCAGGGCAACTCGTCCTGCCGTTGGTCCTCTTGCCAGGTGGCGGCCTGTCCCTCCCTGTCTGCTCGCTTTCCTGTCCTGTGTCTCTTCTAAGAGGAAAGGCGATACAGGCCACACCTTAGGAGATGGGCTGCCCCTGCCTGCCCACTGCCCTTGAGAGCCAAGGACCCGCAGGAACACTGGGAGGCCAAGCGCAACCGTGAGGCAGGTTTCTGAGGTGATGCTGAGATGCCCACAGCTTCAGTGTTGGCTTCCGCCGGGTTTTAACTGCCAGCTTCAGCTTCCCTAAGCACCATGCCAGCGGGCTCTGCTAGCTTGGCTGTGGCATCCTTTGTTCCTGGGCAGTGAAGGGCAAGTGGGGCGTGCTGGGCCCACACACCCGAGGCCTCTGGTTTCATCGAGTGGGGCAAGTGACACGGTGGTGCTGACACACAATGTCTTATCTTTATTTGAAGTTAAGGAGGAACAGAAGCCGCCTGGCATGGTGAGCCTCTGCTCCCAAGCTGGGCGTGCCGCATAGAAACTTCAGAGAGATTTCGGGCTCTGGATAGAACACACAGTTCTTCCCGCTTCATTTGTGAAAGCACAAAGCTGCAGCTCAGAGGACAGGACGACATGGTTCTGGCTTCCTGTCTACCCTTAGGACAGCCCTGACTTGGGATCTGTGATTGCTACTCAGGCAACTTTGAAAGACTTCTGTGGGGTCTGTGGAGGTCCAGGGCACATTGTCAAGACTTCATTCCCATGGTCACGCAGTTGTTTCTCCCAGCTCTGGAGACACTCCCGGTGTGTGATGTCAAGGCAAGCCTTGTATCAGAGCCCTAAAGGCCTCTTCCGGTGTCTCTATAGGTGTTTCACAAGGCATTTCTTATTATAATCCTACATTTCTTCAAGGAAAGCAAGAATGAACATTGCAGAAGGGGACTGCATGGAGCTGAGAGAAGTTCACCGGTCTCCCCCTTGGCAGGGTTGTTGTGTGATGCCAGTGCCTTATGTCACGTAGGGCCACTGTGTGGAGGGTCAGCCCAGGGCCCCCTCACCTCACTCCCCTGCACGCACCCACTCCTGCTCTCCGCACTGTTAGCAGACTCTCATGCCGGTTTCTCATCTGTCACATCTTCATCCACTGGTCTATTCACTTCCTGTCCCCCAGTTCTGCTGGAAATGTCTGCACTTGTGTTCTTATCAGCTGCTGCTTGCAGGGCACCCACTGCCCTCCCGTTGGCAAGGGGCACTTTCTGCAAGCCAGGAAGAGGTAAGGCACAGGAGGTGAGTGGATGCCTGCGGTCAGGGGGACAGCACATGGTCTTTTTCAGGTGTGAGGCTGAGGAAACACCTGGTCTCACTTACAGGAGACACTGCCCGGGGTTGCACCTCCTGAAGCAGGAGTTTGGTCAGGTTCCTGGGGTTAAAGGAGCCCAAGCCCAGGGGCCCGTCTTGCATGGGTTTCCCTAAAGCGCTTGCTCAGTGTGTCCTGACTTCTGTGCACACATACAGAGCCTTGGTTTTGCATAAGCTTATGTAGGAGCCGTAGGGAGCAGCAGCTGCTAACTGTCTACCAAACCCAGGAGCTGCACGCAGGCCAAAGATGACTCAGTCTGCTTCTGTCACAGTGACAGCTGTGGAAACCTCAGGGGTCACCTGGACCATCTCCTATGGGGTGACTGTGAGTCGGCGTCCACACAAAGGTCATGCTCTCGATGATGCTCATTGTTACCAGTTCAAGTCCCCGCTTAGACTCTGGCCCACACTGTCTGCTTTTCAGGGCAGCTGCAGGGTGGCACACACTAGCATCATGCTTGACTGCTAAGCAAGAAAACTCCAGGATCAACCTGGAGGCTGCTGGGGTCAGTGAGGTGTTCCCCATCACCACGCTGCCCGCCAGACCAGCCTGCAAAGAAGGCACAGACCTCTTCTCACAGCAACTGTGCGATTCATTCCAGAACATGAAATTTTCCTCTTGATGTGTGTGTGAACGCAGAATACATTCACTCACGAAATTTACACACACTGTTTCATGACCTTGCTTAGAGCTCATTTCTGCCAAGGAGGAACCAACCCGTAGCTGACCCTCCAGTGGGTTTTCAGAGACTGTTAACCACACGGGAGCAGATTGCCCATCTTTCTGTCACACATGGTTTCAAACTGCTTGCCTTTGGATTAGCAGTGCAGCTTTTTATACACTAGGCCATCAGATCTCCCTCTGACACTGGTTGCAATCCCTGTCCCTTAGCAGCACCCCTCCTGCTCCCTCCCTGTGATTCCCCTTTCCACCCCTCCTCCTTTCGTGTCCATGCCTGCCTTCTTGGAGCTTGATCCTTGCTCTCATGTTGCTCTTTTGACTTTGTCTGTTAGGTTGGTTGGTGTAAGGACTGTTCTCCTCTGTGCTCTCCCTATAAGGTTTTTCTTTTCTTTGGCCAGAAGTTGAACCGCAGAGCTGAGTTCATTCTGAGGCTTGACTGGATGACTAAGGCCAGAGACTGAGGGGTTTCAGCATTTCCTAGCAGAGCTGTGAGCCTCATCTTATTTCTATCATGTTGAGTTTTGTTTCCCCTGATTGTCCCTTTGTGTTGTGATTCATTTCAGAGGCTCAGCAGTGATTGCCGGGCACCATCTATTTCTTCTGTTCTCAGGGCAGGAAGCAGAGGATTCTATTCACCGGTTTTCCTCTGGTGGAGGAAAATGGAACATTAACACGCTCTTAATTCCTCCTGTTGACCACAGGAGCAGATGTATGAGCACATGTCTGTCGGGTGCACTGCAGGGTGGTTCCCAGAGCTTTCTGTGGCACCTGGATGAACACTGTGCAGATGTCCAGGGTTCCGTGTGGATGCAGTATGACAATGGTGACCATGTACCAGATGGCCTGGCTTACCCAGTGCAGTCACACTCCTGACCACTGGGCTCCTGTAAGGAGGACAGCACTAATATTGAGTGATAGGGTGTGGTGAGCTCCCAGAGAGGACAGCCCTGCAACAATGACCCCAGAAGGAACTGCGCCCCAGAGCCATGGAGAGCAAGGGCGCATGGCACAAGGCAGCCACCAGCTCCGTACACAAGGGCGGCCCACCAGCTCAAATGAGACACAGATGAAGGGAAGGGGTGTAGAAGCAGAGACAGGCACTGGCTTTGAGACTGCCGGCATCCCGACAGAGACAAAGGGAAAGGGTGCAGAAACAGAGACAGGCGCTGGCTTTGAGACTACTGGGCATCCCGGAGCACACACCCTGACAGTGTGACTCCTGCCGACTCCAGCGAGAACCTCCTTTGCTCCAGAACACTGCACCTGGCACACGGTTCACCGTTTTTAATGAGAGAGAAGGGAAAGTGCCAGGCTGTTCAGGGCAGGGGTGGCAAACTAGCATGAGCCCTGCAGCTCTCAGGCTCCTCCCAAGGGCTGGGGCACAAGTGGTCCCTTTCAGTCACCTTGGCCTTTCTGTTTTCAAACAACAGTGAATTAAAAAAAAAGCTAACCTCACCCCCTTCCTTTACCAATTTCCTCTCGTGTTGAGGGCTTCATGGTCAATGAAGTGGATTTTTATGATGGAGCGAAAGAAATGGTAAAGAGAGGAGTATAACGCTCAGGTGCCTGGAAGTGGCTGTGTCGGCCGGGAGGCCGAGGGCTCGTGCCTGAGCCCAGATGGTTGTGATCGTGATGGGGAAGGTCGAGGCCCGCCCTCATTGGCTTCTGACATGAAAGATCATCTTCCTCTCTCTCTCTCTCTCTCTCTCTCTCTGTGTCCCCGCCCGCAGTGCCTCGTGTTCGAAGATGCGCCCAATGGGGTCGAGGCGGCCCTGGCAGCTGGGATGCATCTCTCTCTCTCTCTCTCTGTGTCCCCGCCCGCAGTGCCTCGTGTTCGAAGATGCGCCCAATGGGGTCGAGGCGGCCCTGGCAGCTGGGATGCAGGTGGTCATGGTCCCAGATGTCAACCTGAGCCCTGCCCAGACCGCGAAGGCCACCCTGGTGCTGAGCTCACTGCAGGACTTCCGGCCAGAGCTCTTTGGCCTGCCGCCCTACGAGTGAGCTGTTACCTGGCCAGGGGCCTCCGGCGTCCGCCCTGCGCATGTCTCTGCAACCGGGGACGCCTGTGACCTCATCAACACACCTCCTGGCTCTTGTCCTCCTGGGAGTTGCCTTCCTGGCCAGCTGCACACATGGCCTGCTCTCAGACGCTCCAGGAATCCGTACCTTCCCGCTTGAGAGAAAACTCGGTGAAGGCAGAAACACAGCGCCCACTCCAGCTGGGCTGATCGCAGACACCATGATCACACAGACGTGTGTGCTCGCAGAGCATTTACCTGTGCCAGGCAGATGGTCCTTCGTTTTCTAAATGCTCCCTGGAAAAGGACGATGTTTACCCAGGTGACACCCACGGTTAACATTCAGGCCCATACTTCTCCTCGCGGGTGGTCTTAGCCGGCCGTAGGAGCAGCTGATAAAGCAAAAGGTCATGATGCCAACATGGTTTGTGACAGTCTTGAACGCACCTGAGAAACCGGTCCTCCAAAACCACAAACTGTCAGACCCCTCTGAGCATCTCTTTAGACATCTCCTCTGGCCTCCAGACCTTCCCCAGGGGTGTGCACAGAACAGGAGCACATGCATCCCCCCCTCTTGCCTCCCTGCTCTGCAGCGGAGAGGGCCTTCTACCTCAGACCTGCTATCTCTTACCTTGCAGGACGTCGACTCTCTGCTTCAGGATGTGTCCATACAGCTGACAACCCGAGGTGGGCCTGACCAGACCCAGACTCACAGCCCCCTTGCTGGAGATGGTCTTGCCTTTTACTATGTGATTGCTTGGCCTTCATTCTGTCTCTGTGCCCCCTCCCGGGGCCTCGGCCGTTGAGTGACAGTCACAGGAGGGTCCACTGTGCAGCGGTGATGGCCTTGGCCAGCCGACCAGCCTATGTCTTTTCAGCAGACATGCCTCAGGGTCCCTGCCCACCCTTGCTGTGATGCCCTCCTTGAACACTCACTAATCACTCGTTGAATTAAAAATTTTGACATGTGTCTGTGTTTTGTTTCCATGCGACTCATGATTTTACGTAATACCATAAACGTGATCTTCTCCACCCGTCCCTGGTGAAAACTCCATCTCCTTCCCATCCAACCCCTTAGCTTTGTGTTCCACTAGGTTTTCTTATTTTCCAAAACATTCGTCCATTTCAGTGGCACAAATACGTAGGCTCCCATTTGCAATAGCTCAGAAACTCCGTGTTCAAGGAAAAAAAATACAGCAAAAACCCCACCCCTAAATATAGATAGAGGTTGCACTATCTCACCCATCAGGAGAAAGCACGTCTGAAAGATTCACAGTAAACTTAAGGATGTATTTAAATGCATCCCTGGATAATCCTGTGCAAACTACGGTTAAAGAGTGGAAAAAAAAAAACGCTGCCAGCCGTGACACTCTAAAGATAATTATGTGACTTTTACCTTTCCATGAAAGCACCTATTAGGGTGTTGTTGTTGTTTGTTGTTTAATGCCGTCGAGTCGTAGACGACTCATAGTGACCCTATGAACGAACAGCCTGAGCACTGCTCGTAAATAGAGTTTCCGGAGGCAAGCCGTTTTGGAAGTGGATGTCGCTCCTGCTTCCAGGCTTGATTTAGTCGGGAAGCTCCAGCCAACACTGACCTCCATGGGTGCCCATTACCACGATTGGCACATCACTGTCCCCTCTGGACTGCAAAGTGTTTTCCCAGGTGGGTCCAGTGGGGATAGCTGGTTGAACCCAGAGGCTCCATCCTCCTTTGCTTCCTTAGCTGTCAGTTGTATTTCCTTTTTGTCACTGGCACTGGGTTCAGGGTCAATTCTGGAGTAAAACTCAGTGTTAAGGTTACCTGTAGGAAGGGGAGCAAACCTAGAGAGAACAAACTTGTGAGTTACAAATAGAAGGGCTTTGAGGGTGTTGCTTTCAGGTTTACTAGGGGAGAGGGTGCCAGGAGGTGGCCTAGATAACATTCTCTGGATACCCTAGGTATTTGTTTTCCTTCCCCACCCAGGGGTCAGATGGCACAATCTGGGGACTGAGGAGTTCACCCTGAGGGCCGCAATGGCTCACCCCGAGCCGGGGGCCGAGGGCAGCCCACCCCGGGCAGAGGGCCGAGATGGCCCGCCCCGAGCCAGGGGCCGAGGGCAGCCTGTCCTGAGCAGGGGCAACACCCCCCAGGAGCTGACTGGTATACTCCCCCTCTAATTCCCCCTACCCCAGTCTGGTCCCCTCACCTGACCAAGGACTGTGTGGTCAGGGATAGTGTCTCCAATTCCAGCACTGCCACATTTACCCTCCCATAAGTGGTCATACTATATTTTGAAGTAGGTGTCACTGCCCTACCCCTTTATATATGGTAATGGGAACCTGAGAATTGTGAACAGACTCCCCCCAGGTCTAACTATTTTTTGGCAGAAGCATTCAACAGAACAAAATATGTGGTGCATTTACGATGTTGGTCCTCTTGTGTGTGCTGCCACTGTTAAGTGTCATCAGACTCACAGTGACTTTCAGCAACTAATTGTATAGGTCATCGTCTTCTTTGGCCTGTCCAAGGAAACCCAAACATGCAGATGGCGGGGCACGTATCCCATCCCCTGCCTCCTGTGCAGGCCACCGGTGGGGGAGCGCCCCCCCCCGTGCAAGCAGCAGGTGGGGCACGCCCCCCCCTTGCTTCCCCTACCGCTGCCATCCTGGCTCCAAGAATTCTCTGCAGAACAAGTCCACCTTGCAGCAGTGTGGTGGCTTCACTGCACCAGTCTTGGGGAGGGCCGGTGCCCAGCATCCATCCTGGGTGAGGGAATCCATTGGTTCCGGCTGTGGAAGCCTCATGGAGCTGTGGTGGCTGTGCGGCGTGGTGTGGGCTCTGTGGGAGGGGGTTGGGAGCCACGAGACTCACCCATTCCTCCTTGGGAATCCTTGAATTCCTGTTGTTGAGCCTCGATCATCACTGAGGGATAGTCATCAGCTGTTTAACTGTTCAATTATCAATAAGCCGAAGTCTGTAGAAGGCCATAGTGGCCCTGCTTTAAGTGGTTTGCTGCTCCCGCAGCTCACCACGCTGTCTCTGCCTCTGCCGCCATCTTGGATCTCCCTCCAGTGATTTTCAAAGATGACCTGCTCCGTAATAAATATGTGTTGATGTTTCTCTATCAGACTTCATCTACTTCTTTGGTACCCCCACCCCAATGTTGTCGTTTTGTTTGATCTGTTTTATTGAAGGGGCACCTGGACCTTTTTCTCCACATGAGTTGAGCCTATGGTAAAAAGCTGTTTCCCTTGCCAACTGGTTTCCTTCATTTTGCGGATAGAATAAATATTGAAGTTTCTGAGTACTGACACGGTGATGTGAGATCCAAATGTTCCTTGGGGTTTTGACACTTTCAGCAGTCAGCTGATGTTTTACCTTCCTCAGGGAAAGCCCTGGGCGCTACCCCTATGTAACCAAGTAGATGTTTGGGTCTACTTGGGTGGGGAAAGAATCTATCCTCTCTAATCCAGATGTCTTGGCACAACCTGGTGAGCATGTTCAGGGCTGTGTCTTCGCTGTCCAAGTTACTGTATTAATCCATCTCATCCGAGGTCTTCCTTTCTTGCACTGCTCCTACACTCCTCCATTCTCGATGACCTTCTCCAAGGCTGGTCCCTCCTGGCCATGTGTCCAAAGTATATGAGATGGAGCTTTGAAATCCTTGCCTCCAAGGAGCAGCCTGGTTTCACCCTCTCCAGGACAGACCTGTTTGTTCTTTTAGCAGTCCAAGGTATGTTCAGTACTCATCTCCAGCACTACAACTCAAAGGCATCGATTCTTCTGTCATTTTCATTCCTTGTCCAGCTGTCTGATGCAAGTAATTGAAAAGACTGTGGCCTGCATTGGACACACCTTAGTCTCTAGACTGACAATGTTGCTCTTTAACACTTTGGAGAGGTCCCCAACAAATTTCCCTAATGAATTTGTCTTTTGATTTCTGGGCTACTGGTGCTAAGAGCGTTGATTGTGGAACCAAGCAAGCCGAAATGGTTAACAACCTCAATCTCTCCTCCATCTATCATGGTGCTGATACTTGGCCCATTGGTGAGATTCTTTGTTTTCTTGATGTTGAACTTCAATCCATATTGGAGATGACAGTCCTTGACCTTCTGCAGCAGAAGCTTATGTCTTATTTCTTAATGTTAACATCAGAATGTAGATTATGGTGGCAAAGTTTTTCAGGAAATCCCAGTAATTCTAATAATGTATGAGTCATGTACTCATGCTTTTGTATTTACCCGGTGGCATGGAGAAAACAGAGTTGTGCATCTCTGACTCTAACGAGAATAAGCAAATGATGAAGTCGGCTATACTTTCCATAGAACTGACCTGTGTAAACAAGATGTGCACACATATAAAGTGCATGGCACGTGTGAGGAAGGTGAATGGTTTGCACAAATCCAATGTTCCTCTTGTAGTTTGTTAGGTGCTGTTGAGCCCATAGTGACCCTGTGAACAACATCCCTGACCCCTGTCCTATCTTGTGCCACCCTCGTACTCTCTGACACCCTCAAAGACATTGCTGTAGTCACTGTCCATCCACCTGGTTGCTGGTCTTGCTCTCCTTCGACGTCCCTCCACCTTTCCAAACATGTTGTCCTTTGGGGAGTAGTCTCTCCTATAATATGCCCAAAATAGGAGACATGAAGCATCACCGTCTTTGCCTCCAAGGAGCACTGTGGCTGCACTTTCCCCAAGACATAGCTGTTCTTTTGGCCGTCTGTGGGATCTTCAGTACCGTTCTCCAACATTGCAGTTTAAAGGCTTCGATTTTCTTCCTCTGTCACCTTTATTCATTGTCCAGCTCTCAGCGGTGTAGCAAGTGATTGGAAAGATCGTGATCTTAATCAGGTGCACCTTCATCTTTAAACTGACATCACTGCTCTTCAGTAATCTGGAGAGGTCCCTGACTGCAACCTTTCCCAGTCGAGGACGTCTCCTGGCTGCTGATACCAAGTATATTGTTGGTACATCCAAGGAAGATGCAGTCCTTGGCA